AGTAGCAGCAGATGACCAGAAGTAGCAGCAGATGATGCCGTCGCGGTTGAAGGAAGTGAACAGAAGTAGCAGCAGATGATGCCGTCGCGGTAGAAGGAAGTGAACAGAAGTAGCAGCAGATGACGCCGTCGCGGTTGAAGGAAGTGAACAGAAGTAGCAGCAGATGATGCCGTCGCGGTTGAAGGAAGTGAACAGAAGTAGCAGCAGATGATGCCGTCGCGGTAGAAGGAAGTGAACAGAAGTAGCAGCAGATGACGCCGTCGCGGTTGAAGGAAGTGAACAGAAGTAGCAGCAGATGATGCCGTCGCGGTTGAAGGAAGTGAACAGAAGTAGCAGCAGATGATGCCGTCGCGGTAGAAGGAAGTGAACAGAAGTAGCAGCAGATGACGCCGTCGCGGTTGAAGGAAGTGAACAGAAGTAGCAGCAGATGATGCCGTCGCGGTAGAAGGAAGTGAACAGAAGTAGCAGCAGATGACGCCGTCGCGGTAGAAGGAAGTGAACAGAAGTAGCAGCAGATGACGCCGTCGCGGTAGAAGGAAGTGACACAGTAGGGCGTCGCCAGCTGAGGGCGCCGCCATCCGAGGGCGCCGCAACCCGTCGCACCGCCGTCCTCCGCGAGTCTTGAGAATAGCGGTGCCGCCGAGAGAGCGTCGCCAGCTGAGGGCGACGCAAAAGGGCGCCGCCAAACGAGGGCGCCGCCGTCCGAGGGCGCCGCCGCCGGAGCGCCGCGCCGCCGACCGCCGCCCGCCGCGATAGAGAGAGGGAGTCGCCGCGCCGCCGCGAGAGAAGGACGAGAGAGAGGAATGGAGGCGACGGTCGGAATGTCGGAGGCATCACGCCGTCGTCCGCCGCGCGCCGCAAGGAGAGAGGAGGTGTCGCCGAGAGAGCGCCGTCGCTAGCGCCACCTAGTGGCAGCAGTCGGCGCGACCATGAGAGCGTCACCAGCCAAGGACGCCGCCGCCGGAGTACCGAGCGTCGTCGCCACGGGCGCCGCCTGCCGTCCGCCGCCTGAAGCGAGCGAGAGAGAGCGTCGCTGCTAGCGCCACCAAGTGGCAGCAGACGGCGCGACCAAGAGGGCGCTCGCCGGAGAGGAATGGAGGCGACGGTCGGAATGTCGGAGGCATCACGCCGTCGTCCGCCGCGCGCCGCAAGGAGAGAGGAGGTGTCGCCGAGAGAGCGCCGTCGCTAGCGCCACCTAGTGGCAGCAGTCGGCGCGACCATGAGAGCGTCACCAGCCAAGGACGCCGCCGCCGGAGTACCGAGCGTCGTCGCCACGGGCGCCGCCTGCCGTCCGCCGCCTGAAGCGAGCGAGAGAGAGCGTCGCTGCTAGCGCCACCAAGTGGCAGCAGACGGCGCGACCAAGAGGGCGCTCGCCGAGAGAGCGTCGCTGCTAGCGCCACCAAGTGGCAGTAGACGGCGCGACCAAGAGGGCGCTCGCCGAGAGAGCGTCGCTGCTAGCGCCACCAAGTGGCAGCAGACGGCGCGACCAAGAGGGCGTCACCAGCCGAGGCCGCCGCCGGTGGTGGAAGACCCTACGAGTCTACGACTACAGGTGGCGCTGCGGGCGGCCTGCTGCTGAATCAGCCTGGGCGCCGCCAACAGAGGCGGATCAAGGAAAGGAGCTGCTGCGCCCGACCGGGCGCTGCCCCCTGCGGTGGCAGCCAAGCGTTGCCACCCACCGCTGCGCCCCACTATGGCGATCTGCTGCTGCAGCCCGGGCTCCGCCGCCCACTGCTGCGGTCCGGGCCCGCTGCCGGCTGCCTGCTGTCTGCTGCCGCCCGATGCCGGCTGCCTGCCCGCTGCCGACCTGCCTGCCCGCTGCCGGCAGCCCGGCAGCTGCATGCCGCCTGCCTGCTGTCTGCTGCTGCCCGCTGCCGGCTGTCTGCCCTCTGCCGGCTGCTTGCCCGCTGCCAGCAGCCCGTCTGCTGCGGCCCGAAGCTGCTGCCGGCTGCCTGCCTGCTGTCTGCTGCTGCCCGCTGTCTGCTGCCTGCCCGCTGCCGGCTGCTTGCTGTCTGCTGCCGCCAGCTGCCGGATGCTTGCCCGCTTCCAGCAGCCCGCCTGCTGCGGCCCGAAGCTGCTGGCGGCTGCCTGCCTACTGTCTGCTGCTGCCCGCTGCCGCCTGCCTGCCCGCTGCCAGCAGCCCGCCTACTGCGGCCCGAACCGGCTGCCTGCTATCTGCTGCCGCCCGCTGCCGGCTGCCTGCCCTCTGCAGGCTGTTTGCCCGCTGCCAGCAGCCCGCCTGCCGCGGCCCGAAGCTCCTGCCGGCTGCCTGCTGTCTGCTGCCGCCCCACTGCAGCGGCCCACGCTACATCGCAAGCGGCAAGCGCAGTAGTCTGCCGCCCCACTGCTGCCCGCTGCTACAGACCGGGGAATGCCGCCCCAGGGGTGGCCGAACGCTGCCACCCTCATGCACCTGAATGTCTGTGTAAATGTCCGATGTCTGTAAATATGTCTAATGTGTGTATGACTTGCTGTTGCTCCGCTTGAAGGCTGCTCCGTATCCCTGCTACATGTGTTATCGCGGTCGGTGCATTTTTTCGGAACGTCCAAATCTGTCGACTGTAAGGCTTTACTAAAGACCCCCTCCCCGGAAGTAAGGGGATTTAACCCACCTTGCGGAGAAGGGGGTATTTATGTAAAGCCCGCGCCTGTAGGAATAGGTTTTCCTGGTCGACGGGCGCCGCGTCGGAACGCGAGGCTGGCTTTCACCTCGGGCGGGCTGACCGTTCCGACTCCCGCCTCGAGCTGGGTTATAACGCGTGAGCGCCGGCCGATCGGGGCTCTCGTGTGGTGGCTTCGCTCGAGGTAGGTGTCCCGCTGACCCGGAGGATGGGGCTTTGTGCTCACCCCGCCTCCCTAGCTAGGCTAGGAGCAAGGTAAAGTAAATGTGTAGATTGCGCGTGTTAGGGTATGTTAGGCTAATCTGCGCGTTTATTCTGAGGCGACGCAATTTCCCGTAGACGTACATTCCCGAGCAGTCTTGTTTCATTCTTTGGCGTTATACTTGTTTTATATAAATAATAACGGAGCAGAAATCTTTATCTTGTTTGGCAGAGAGAGACATTCGAGACGAGAGACGAAAGACGGAGATAATGAATGAGTCACGGAGTTTAAACATTAACGTAACGTAAATGTAATAATAACGTAACTTGCAATTAAGACGGTGTAATGCACACCGCAACCCACGAGGGTGCGCGACCCAACCGTGTGTGCCCAAAGGTGATGCATTCCCTGTCCACCGGATGCCAAAGTAAAGTAAATGCAATAGTTGGACCACCACGGCCGGGTGGCAGACGGCTGTCGGGGGATAGAACGGGTGTTGGCGGTAGCGCTGCCGCTGGCATCACGGGTACATTACACAGGGTCACAAAGGCAAAAAGACCAGGGTATTGGTGGATACGACTAATGTTTTATAGACATATATGACAGAAACTCATAACTGATGGCTTTGCAAAAAAAGGCAGTTCTTTCGGGTTAGCGGTCCGAATTCCGGACATTCCAGCACTAGTCTGGCGACTTGGCCCTCAGGCGGTTTGACCGCGTGCCCGGCCCACTGTACCCACGTGGCCGGGGTAGTGAGCTTGACGATTGTAGCGAGCGCACGTATATTCTTGTCGTTCCATCACTAGCAAAACAGGCAGATAAGCAATGTGTATTGCTTACAAAGCCATTCTTGACATCGTCTTGACCAGTCCAGATGGTGTAGGGCCGGTTCAAGTAGAGGATTTTTCAGCTAGCATTGCTCGTATTTTGAATGCTCAATTGACGACTGATGACACTCGAGCACTGGGAAAGCTGCTTAACAAGTTAAAGGAAAAATGGATAGCCGCTCATCGCAATGAAGATAGCTTTCTGTCAAGAAACCAAACTTGGACTCAGCTGACATTTTGTCTGTCAGAGCCTGAACCCTGAAAACGGTAGACATAAAAACGTCCAGCACTACTATATAGGTACACACGTCACATATCACAGGTCACACGGTACCTACATGTTTAGAAATCACGCAAAATCCATTTCGGATGTTCTGGCTTTCATCTCTGGTGTAAAAGCAGCCATTAAAGGGCAGTTATTATTTTTGGCGTGCTAATTCCTGCATCGGACCCATAGTGCGTCGGCCGCCGGCGTCCGGCTCGGGACCAGCTGGTGACTCAGGGCCGGGCGCGCGCGCCGCCGGACCGGCCGGCAGAAGGCCTCGGCCAGCCCGGCAGAGGGCCGCACCGCGGCACGGCACTACGGCCCAAGGTAGGTACGGTGGACTATAGGCTGTGCATTGTCACGAACAGAAAAAATGAGGATAGTAGGATTCCAAAAGCGAAGCTGTTTTACTGTGCCGTAGCTTCAGAGTCTATGGGCCAATTAAGAACTTCAACAAATAATGAAAGTGACTGACACTTATTATAAGACAATAAACTGACAGTCCATACCACTTGCAAAAATATTTTGGTAACGTCAAGTCCAGTTTGTGACTGATCCTCCTTCCATACTATGGGAATGAGGGGAACTTTATGTACCTATCCCACTTGAACATTCGTTGCATAGAACAAACGATAAATGTTGCATTAATGCTATTGAAGATGCCGCAAATAAAGCCTTTGATCACCAGCATTCGCTGCGTACTTCCCAAGTCCCAACCATTGTCATGTCAGCAAATCGATCGACAGTAAGTACCTCATGTCCATAAAACTCGACTGTCTACTGTCTAGCCACATCATCCTGTGGCACGGCTATTAGTCATTGGTAGTGCTGGTCACCCGAGGGTGGCTTTTCAAGACAACCTCCCCAGGTCAAACTAACCATGTCAATTAGAGCACTGTGATAGCAGAAGGATTTGAAAATGGGCCTTCATACATACCCGATACTACCGGGAACAAAAAGAAAAAAACTGCCGATATGAATGCTCAACACCCAATGAGCTGCTCCCCGGCTCAACTACAGCACTCAGTCTCTCAATGGACTCAGTGAGATCATTCAAACTTAGTGAGTCAGCCGGAATAACTCACCTCTCCCAGGCGGAGTTGATCGTTCCACTTAGTAGTTGCAGGTGCTCCATTGTCCACACTCGTTAGCCACAGAGAGCCATACGGCTAGGGAAAATTCACATCGACAAAAATGGACACAAAATATGACAGATAGGTAAGTCTGGGTTATAAGTTAGTCTTGTTTGAACGTCTCACGATGAAATGAAGTGCACACGAACCCTGGATGCCAGATGAAGAACATCATCTTAGTCAGTCACGTAAGTCAAGTCACAGATCATTCAGATGGGTTTCACTTCTCTCCGTCCAGCCTTAGAGACTTCCACAGGATTTGCTTAGAGTCGGATCCAGCCACCCTACCAGGCTATCCGGCTCGCATAAGTGAAATCACCACCTTGACGTGTCTCTACACACAGAAAACACACAGAAACACGCAGATACACAGAAGTCCACACCCCCGAGTCTCCCGTCACCGCCTTCACTCTCTCACCAGAACGGCAGCGCCGACCACACCACAGCGTTCCGGGGCACGGCGACACCGACTGGACCGCCACAATACCCCCGCGGCGGCGTACCGTCACGGCTCGGCGTCACACAAAGTGACAGCGACTGTCAGCTGCGGCGGACGGCGGAGGGCGGCCACTGGCAGCCGGCCACTGACCAGGGGTCCCCGCGCCACGCCGACAGCCGCCCCGGCCGCTGGAAACTGGCCAAACTCGCCGCCCCGTGCTGAACAATAGCCGCCGCCGCCCTCCGCAGTTTCGCATCGAGTCGTTGTAAAGTGGAGACACCGCTTCAGCAGCTGTCGCGGGGCGGAGCGGAGCCGCGGTGCAGACGGTCGGAGCGGGGGAGGGCGGGGGCGGGGGCGGTTTCCATGCGCGCTCCGCCGCCTCCGCCTCCGCCGCCGCCCACCCTAATCAAACAGATCGGCCACCGGAAGGGTGGGGCGGCCGACGGCGGCGCTGGGGGCAAGAGACGGCCGACTGAGCGGAGCCGCTCCCGACTCGAGCGGTTCTGAACGTCGACACCCGCCATCCAAATGAGCGGTCTATGAGCGCACGCCATCAGGCCGATTGTAATCAAGATATCGGGCCAGCTTGTATCAGGATTGAAGGCATAAAAGTGCAGTGAATTGGAGCAACGTTGGTGGGCATCGGTCTGAAGCTTCTGGGCTCAATTCGCCGACGTGTCATGAGTCTACCGCGAAGAGCCCAGTATTTGCTGGACGATACACCGACAGTCAAATCCAATGGATTATTGCCAAAGTTAATCCAACGGGTCACCGGACACGCGATGGACTTCAGCCAACTTCGTCACAGAGGCTGACAGCATCCGGTGGGGTCGATTGAGCTCAGCGGGGAGACAAAACCTGGACAGATTGTCTGGGAGTGGTCCGGTGAAAGAACCGACTGCCGGTGCGGGCTCATGGCGTGTGCTGAGAATCGACTGGAGAGGGGTTGCGGTGGAAGGGATTAGGTCGAGCATCTAGGGGATCGGGTGTGTCCTAGCTGGGAAATGGGCCGGACTTTGATTGGGACACAGGCTGTGGAGGGTTTTTAAGGGATACATATTGTGTCAGACTCAGCTACGGGCCGGGTCTGGTCTCACCTGGCTTGGGAGACCGACCGGTTGCAGTCCAGTCTGGTACAGACTGGCTTTGGTCCTGCCCGGGAGATAGACGTGTGGTCTGGCTGGTCCGCCAACCACGTGCCGGGGACAGTTGGATGGCGGCCAATCGGACGACTGACTGTCCACCGACTCGTCCCGCACCTCCCTCCAACCCACTCGCCGCCGGCCGCGGGTGGCGACACGGCGGCGTCCGCTCCTGAATGGAGCCGCGTCAGGCGCCAAAATTAGCCCGCCGATCCGCCGCCCGACCGGCGGAATCACCCGGCGTCGGCGAACGGTGAGCGCCGGTGGAGGCGGACGGGTCGTGACACCGGCTGAATACAGCTGGGAAGGTCAGATCTGGACAGTCACTGGTGGTATTGGCGGATTTCGGCCGACAAAAGGTCCTCTCACGGGGGCTCTTCACCCCGGATATATCGCAGCCTCACGGCACACGAGGCACAGTGAGAGACGGTTTGAGATGATGGAGAGAGGAACAACAAGCCGGCCACGCTTAAGTCAATATGGTTTGTTTCCACAGTAGTTCGTCATTGGGTACAACCGGCCAATGCCTGTCTGCGAGCGAACATGCAACGTCAATAACAGCTTGATTCAAAGACAGACTGATGCCAGTGCCTTCCTTTTCGACACCCTTAGGTATTCCTAAACAGTTGGCGGGGGCCAATTGAAGGAATCCATCCGGGAGTCCTGATATCGTATCGTAACAACAGATCAACATCGCAGAGACGGTCAGGCCACCAACACTCAGCCTTCAGGGCAGTTGACCACAACACCGTTCCTTCACCGGACTCCCGAGAAAGACGCCGTCTGAGCTTCACAGACACACCGAAACTGATACCGTCCCAACAGACCAGGACACCATCTTTGCGCTACAGACAAACTTCAGGACAAATAAAAGGATACCACTCCTACAAACCCAGCAGACCAGGACACCGTCTCCACAGACCAGGACACTATCCCCACAGACCAGGACACCGTCTCCAGTTCCACCGACCCGCCGGCGGCACACTGAGTCCTCCGTTTCAGCGCCGTGCCGTTAGCACCCAACTGCCGTCAATTGGGGCAAATTCAGCCAATTGGGGGCGGCGGGGGCGTCACGGAACACGGTTTGCGGGGCGTTATTTTGGCCGGCAGCCGCGTGACGCGACGGAACGTGACTGTCGACGCGTCGGCGCGGCGTCACGGTCACGAGCCGCGCGTGCCCCCGGTGGCCGCCGCCGCCGCCTCCGCAGGGGTGGGCGCCCGCAGCGGTCGGGGGAGGGGCTGGTCCAGGAGGGAGGGCCGTCGGCGACATGAAATGAATGGGATGTCCACGACCAGACCGGATGGCGGCCAGACGCCGTCCGGAAACGCGGCAGAATGCCGAGTGACTGGTCCGTCTGACTAAAACGGACGCTGCAACCGTAGCCGACGGTTGGACAACAGACACAAACTGAACAGACTGGGAGACGCCCCAGAACCTGAGGAAGAAGCTGGCAGCAGGCAGACGGCTCGACAAAAAGTCTGGCTGGGAGTCTTCTACCTTGGCCTGACAAGCTACCAGGCCTCTGAGATCAGTAGGAAGTTGCCAACACGCTGATCCGGACGGCTGCACGTCTGGGCGGTCCTGCACCTGTTCCCAACGATCAGACATGTTGTTACATGCGAGTAGCAGTCCGCCCACCCAGCAGTATAGGGCCTTGCCCAGCAGGGTGGGTGGAACACATCAGGAAGGCAAGGCAACACTAGAATAGAAACCGAAGGATAAAGCGACAGGATCACCAGCTCCCGACGCGGCAGGAACCAATGGAGCGGCCTCACGTCACATTTGGACTCGATAGCGGATCGAGCGTGAGCGGGAGTCGTGCCGCGTGAGCTGCAGAGTCACGCTCAGGCTCGCCGACTCACAATACCCACAAACTTCGGTGACATTCCGCTACAGATCGGAATGTGAGGTCATAGAATCAAACGGTCCACAGGAACGGGTCCTATTGGGGACGGGCTGAGAGCCGACTGACTGGACAGGCTCACGGGCATCCAATGAGACGGGCAAGAGAAGTTGGCTACTTTTTACAACATACACCACAGCGAGACATTCCTAGCCATGGAGAGAACTAACTGCGAACTAATGATGCATGACAAAACACCATTATGGCGACCAAATACTTTTTCGGTTCCCACGCTGTTTTGAGTTGCGTGAAATCCCTCCAGCCGCATTCATAAAGCGCCTTCAAGCAGAGGAACAACATATTCTTGATGAGAATTGGTACGACAAGCTTGGTCGATGGAGCGTATCAGTCCCATCCCAACAGTCGGCTCATCACGTTACAAGACACAAGTTATTACGAGGTAGCGCCAGCGGCCACAATATTACTAATATTGCCAGTGAGCTGACCGCAGACTAAGCATCACGACATCGCCCCACAATTCCTGTCACAACCAGTGACCTTTCCAGACCTATCAGCGGTGAGCGGTCCCGTCCATCCCGCACTCCCGAGCTCCTGACCTGACCCAGGGTCGGTTCCGACAGCTCTGACGGAGTACCTGGCCCGGCCGGCCGGCCGGCGGGGCGCGGTGGGACCGGACAGGAGAGGGCGGGCTCCCGGGGTGTGTTGGCAGCGGCGGCAGAGGCGGCGGAGGCACCGGGCCAGCCGCCGGACAGACCCCGCCCCCCTCACCTGACCACGCCCCGCTGACGGACCGGCGGACGGAGCAGAGAAACGGGCGACAGACAGCGGGGGATGACGAATGTGACGACTTGTGCAAAAAGCAGGCGGTTTTCAACAGACATTCGTACGAATTCAACTACCTACCGTCCCTTTGAAGCAAAATGGAGGATCAAAGAGCATTAGTTGTTTCTCTAGCTCGATGATAAGAAAACGTGCGCATGTCATGTGGTTACGATTGAAGTATCGAACACAAACGCATTCAACTACCTCACTTACACTGCTCACCAATCCTTGCTACATCCACGGGCGTCAAACGCGGTCAATTACTGAAAACTATCAACGCAGCAGCTAAGCCGGTCACTCACCTAACCGTTCTTTATACCCACCGTTTTGGTGCGCTGAGCAGCAAGATGTTTTCCGGGATATCCTCTGATCACCGCCGATCAAATATGACCAGTTAGCCGAACCAACTCCTAGCGACGAGAGGGACAGCCGTCTCCTGAGCCGGGACTGCCGTCTCCCAAACCGGGACGTCTTTCCCAGCGGTGAGCCGACACGCTTCGCCGCGGTCCAGGAAGGTAGCTCAAGGGAGCGACGGCTCTCAGCACCGATCAAGAATGGCAGCCCTCAGGAGTGACCGTCAGGGTCAGCTTTCAGAAGCCAAAGCTTTTATCAGCGACTGGTAGATGAAGAGGTCTAAGCGGTAGCCAGCAGAGGTCAGTAAAACCACTGACTGAGCAGTTCCGCGGCGATCGGTACCGATACCGCCGTGACGGGGAGCCCGTGTCACCTCCGACCGCGGCACTGCGGCAGCACTGCAGCGGCGCCGGCGGACGTGTCTTGGGCGGCTTCCAGGCGGCGTCAGCATCCCCCCCCGCCCCCACCGGTGAGCGGTGACCGTTTTAGCCGGGCGATCCCCGGGGGGCGGGGGGGGGGGCGCCCGCGCCGCCGGAACCCGGCCCGGCCCCGTCTCCCACTCCCCGCCCGGACATAAAGGAGGACAGCATTGGTGTTAACCACCTCCCACTTGCATTCAGAACTTGGATTGAGATGGAAAAGGGTTTTGAGATGCTGCAGGATAGCAACAGTTCCAAAAAAAAGATTGTAGAATTTCTCAAAGCATGGATTTTGCTTTCTCATGGGTAACTGTGCACTTTGTTCTTGAAACAGGCTTTTCAAGATAATAAAGTTGTTTGTCTTATAAGGAAAAACAAAAAAAAAACTTCATCAATTTTTCACTACCTACACTTGAACAGCAATGACCTTAAATGTTCACTCTTTCTGGAACTGCCGGTGGATGTGACCTCTGGCATGAGCCAAGCCTGAACAAATTCAACTGTTCTTTTATTTAGGGATTATCGTCGAGACAAATCTCACAAAATATTGGAAAAACTTTCCCGGGGCTACTATATATAACTTCAAGATGCAGATTTCCAGTCCTATTTTTGTTCATGAACTGTAATCAGTGAGTTGAGTGTTCCGCCTACCAACAAAAGTTGAGGGAACTTCTCCCTTAACATTCATTTCCGTAAATGTGATTTGTTACTTGTTAGTTCCGACAATTACGTGAACAGTAGGTAGGTATCTATCTAGGTTTGATCTATCTATCTATCTAGGTTTGATTATGTTTTTTTCTTTTATTTGCGAGACATATGAGTATCATTTTTGGATTCAGGATGTCAAATAATGTAAAAATATGAAAAATTTATCAATGAAATCTTCTTAGGACTTAAACTTGACATTTACCGGTATCTATTTACCTGAGATAAACTAGTGACTATGGTATGAGCTGCAAAAAATTCTAATTATCATTTAGGTTTCACAATACCTATGCACAGCACAGTTCACATGCAAATGTTGAGTCTCGTACCATATAGCATAGCATAAGTGTAGGCACATTTATTTGACCGAATCAGAATTTTACAATGACAACGACCCCAACCCTGGCACTTGGCATGCAGGGCCATTGCAACAGGTGTATTGCGACGGGTCAAATATAAAGCAGCGACTTACTGGGTCCTAGACGTGCGGAACAGATCTCCAGAAAATATTCATATTAGGAAGTCAAGAACAAAATGATAAAAATGCTTGAAAAACCCGCCAGCTCTCACCGAAATACCGAAACCACCGTAGGTCTTTAGCATAAACATGTGTTTACAAAATAGCGTTGTCTCAAATATCACGTGACTAGGCTCTATCACATTTCTCTAAGCGTGAAATATGTCACGTGACTTGGAGGCTTTAGCCAGCCTTGTTTGCGCTACAAATGTATAATAATGGTTTACAACAGCTGCGCGCGTGCTACAATCAATTGTAGAACATGACCACTAAATACATATTTTGTCTTAATTACTCAATGACAGCACGTTATACCCAAGATTACTTTACTTATATGTATAGTAGTATACCTATAGAGTGACAGCTGGACAAACGGCCAAAGCGCAAGCCAGAAACTTGTTTCAATGAAAATAAGCACAGCTGCGTAAAAGTCACTTAACTTTTTCAAATAACATTTTTTACTGCTTCCTGAATCTTGCTCTCAGTTTTGCCTATTCGTCAAAAGGTCCTCGCACACCCTGCGCGCAATTCTTTTTTAAATCGCGAAAAACTACAAGACATGAAAAATTGGTGCATTAAAACATGGAAGGACGCCATCGCCATACGTTTTATGCATCTGATAACTGTGTTTATTTGTTTATAATTAGCTGAATGTTGATGCATCCTTGCGATGCGATAATTCATCCCCGGATTTGGACGACGGGTAGGCATTACGACTCTTACGGATCGCTACGCACTACGGTGTAAAAACCGACACGAATCCCACCCGCGCGCGCACCCAGAAATGACGGCGGAATGATGTGGCAAATGCAAAGCTGCCACTTCCGCCCGGTAAGACTAGGCAATCTGCCCTCGGTTCCGTGAATGATTCGCTTCCATGCTCCATACATAGTGAATGTGATAGTACATACCAAAGTTGTTCAGGATCAGATACACAACATTGTATTGTCTGTCAGGTACCTGTTGAGCATCCCTCGTCACTACATAAACAGCATGTGTCAGATTCTTAGTCCCTCAGTTGGTAACCGACCCACATCACACAACTGTAACAAAAGCTCACGCCCAAGGAAAGACCGCAAACATCGTCATCAAAACACAAATCTTCCGCAACTCTCACTTTAATTCTCGAGACCAGTCGATATTCACTACTCAGTTCGCGGCAGAGATAAAGTGAACGTAGCATAGGAGTCTTCAGACTGTTCCACGATATAAAACACGTTCATGACTCTCCGTACAAATGCCTCAGCGATCAACATCCCCCTATCTTCCCTCCGCCCGTTCCGTTTCAGTCTGTGGCGGGCCTCTCGTCTCGACAGAGCGTCTCGGCGAACTTGAGCACGGTGCGCGTGGGCCGGCCGCTCATGCCCTTGGGCAGGTAGGGCACGTCGTCAGCAGAGTTCTCCATGGTGCCGGCAATGTCCAGGTGCAGCCACGCCAGGTCCTCGGATACAAACTCCTGGTGGACAACAGATACAACAAATGGGTGAGCTTAGGAGAAGCATGAAGGAGAAACGAATGCTCAATAAACGCAAGGTTTTCACAGTAAAATGTAGTATAGTAGACTATACTATGGGCGTCTAAAAAAAACTATATAAATAGTGCAATTACTGCACCTCACATCAACCAGCAATATCTACAACAAAAACACGCAGTAAGTAGTCGGGTCTCAACATCAGTACACTCTGTACGCTGAGCATGCCTGTTCCCTCCCTTCTCCAGTCCCCTTCCCCCACCCCGACCGCCGATAGGACGGACCTTGAGGAAGGCGGCGGCCGTGCACGATCCGCCGCCGGTGGCGCCGCCAATGTTGTTCAGGTCGGCCAGGTCACACTCTGGGGGAGGGACACACCCGGTCAGACGCCCGGTCAGCGGTCAGACTCACCCGCAGGAAGGCGGCGGCCGTGCAGGAGCCGCCCGCCGGCCGCGCCGAGCTCTGGTTGTTGAAGTCGGCCAGCGGCGCTTCTGTGTGGAGAGAGGTGATACGGCCGGCCGCGGGAGGGAAGAGGGGATGACAGAGTGGGGGATGTTAGCACACAACACGGTAAAACATACAAGGGACGCACCATCTTAGCAATAAACCGAAATATATGGTCATAGATGATACATTTGGCGAGGTAAGAATGGTACTGTGAAAAATACTATTTTTTACGGATTCATGATCGATGTTATGAATCGTTCGACCGAATTTACCTCTCGTTTATCAAAGTTCTTGGGGAATGTTTCACGTCCACGAGGGAAGAAAAAGACACGCACAGGCGATATACTCAAACAGTTGGTAAGATCAGCGACAGCACTCACTCGTCATCGATTTAGTGTAGTGTCTCCAGAGCGGCATCCTCCAGACGCGGTCCCCGGTTACGGAGCCGGCGGCGCGCAGGTGGCGCCACGCGGCGGTCGAGTTGGTAAACACGCCCACGGCCCCCGAGCCCAGCGCCACCGCCATCGCTCCTGGAAGTGAACGAGTGAGAAACTGAGCGGTGAGCGGGCACAGGCCGGCTGATGAGAGACGGTGGGATGGGGTTAAACGCTGGACATCTTCATCACGGTCATTCGGCAGTACGGATAAAATTACACGGCGCACAAATGAAGAAAAAACATGAACTTTCTTGCAGAATACTTCCAACACCTGCAATTTCATTGAACAGTTATTTTACGGGATAAAAGCAACTGAACTGACATCACCGTTCCATGCTTCTATCCTCAGGACACGGAAATCCTTCTCCTCCACGCCGCAACCCCCTCCGGGCTGGACAGGCAACTTTATCTCATGCGGGCTGCTCCCTTGGAGCGGCATCGCTGCTCCCGAGGGAGCGCACCCCGTAGCCGGGTGCAGTGAGTACCTTGGGGCTGGTCGGCCTGTCCTTCGGGATGGGCTCAGCCCCGGTGACTCACTAGGATGCCTGCCCAGACCAATGTCTCCCCCTAATTCCTATCATCCCTCCGGCTCTGAAATGGTCTAATTGGACCGAAAGGGCCTAACCCAACAAAAAAAAAAACTGAACTGACAGAATTATACCGAAACAATGAGCCTTCCTTCTTTAAATACGGCATCACCAATAGACTCTCAGTTACCTGTGAGCGTGGCCATATCGAGCATGGCTCTCGGCCTGCAGACCTGCTGGGCGTACCACATGGCGTCCACCAGGATCAGACGGCCCTCGGCGTCTGTATTGTCCACCTGTCGGTAGGGTGGGGCACAAAATCAGCGTCTCAAGAACAGGGCTCAGACGGGATGACTTAAACGGCACCGAGTGTAAATCATACAGCCACCACGGGCAGCCAATGCAACAGTATAACAGCTCGAAACGGTTAACACCGGCCCACATATCATCATATTCAAACTTACAATTAAATATGAGGGTACACAGGCCGTACTTTGCAGAGATCTACAGAGTTCTTGGGACCGTGTTTAGCTAAATTAGCAGCCTTACTTTCCTATACTTCACACGCCAAAATATGAATATTTCTACGAAAAAAGGCATAAAAAAGACAGCATAGTTACTAATCAGTGTCTAAGCACCACAGAACTTCTCCCTCCATCACAGAAAGGCAGTAAGTAGTATGCTGTTCGCCCAGCAGAAACACACCCACCTGAATGGTCTTCCCGCTCATGGCCGTGACGACGTCTCCGGGCTTGGTGGCCCGTCCGCCGGGCATGTTCTCACAGAGCGGAATGAAGGCGCGCAGGTTGGCGGCCAGTCCGAGCCGCGCCGCCGCGTACAGCACCCCGGCCGTGCAGGCCGCACCGCCCATGTCGGCACGCATCTTGTCCATCTTGTTGGACGGCTTCAGCGAGATGCCGCCAGAGTCGAACGTCACGCCCTTGCCTGCAGCGACGGTGCGGATACATAAATGTACGGTGTGACGGACGATTCAAGAAAAAAAAATGTCATGATCAGTATACGGTGCTCCCAACAAAATAAGTGACCCCGTGAACCCAAGCAGCCTCTAACATATTGTCATGTGCATTTTTTACGCCTTCTCTGACCTCAGCAAATGACGCCTACCGTGACCTCCCTATGACCTCCCGGTGACCCCGTCTGACCTACTATGGCGAGCGGCGCCGAGTCGGACGCCGCTCCCGAGTAGCTGAGCTCCAGCAGCCGGGGCGGCTCTACAGAGCCACGCGCCACGCTCAGGAAGGCGCCCATGTTGTTCTGTCGGATCCAGGCCTCGTCTCGGACGGTCACCTCGACCGGCAGGCCGGCCATCGTCTCAGAAACGCGCTGTTGGCAACAGGATAAGGGATCATGCGTGGTTAGACACACAGTTATCTGCCATTCAAAGGAAACACGTCACTAGAAGAAGGCGCACGGACAGTTGCAATGCGTGAGTCACCAGCCCGCCACCGTGACCCTTGACCCAGCTGACCCCAAGATCGGTGACCCGACTGACTTCCGATGACACGTCACCCTGACCCGACCGCCCCCGTTCCCGTGACCCGGCTGACCTGGCAGAAGAGTGTGGGCGTCAGGTGGTTGGCCGGCATCTCCATCAGAGTGCGCGCCAGGTTCTGGCCGGCCGCCCGGTGCACGCCGCGCCCCCACGGCTCGCTGTCGGCACCACGCGCCCCGTCAGGGTACAGAGCCCAGAGAACGGGGACAGAGACGGGACAACGACACACGGAGGACCCCAGGGTCCGACAGCACGGATCACGAAACACCAACGACTCCGTGGCGCAACGGTAGCGCGTCTGACTCCAGATCAGAAGGTTGCGTGTTCAAATCACGTCGGGGTCACGAAACTTTTCTGAGGCTAGGTTGGAGTTTATCAATTATAGGCAGCCATATTCCACTACAACCTGACGACCTCGCCTGCAGCGCACTTGCAGGTCCATATTTTGTTAACATTCGTGACATGTCGAAGGTCTCTAAATGATGCATACACGGTCGATAAACTCCAAGTGCATACCAGGGACAACATGCAGCTGGGCGGGTCGGTTTCAGTTGCCTCCATCCAAAATATAATTGACATTCACCACGATACCAGTCAGTTGGGTTTTAACCACATACCTGCACTGACTTATAACTGCTCGTCACACAGGTCACGCCCCGCGCTCTCCCTCCCCCGTCTCACCTGTCTCCATCGGTGCAGCTGAGTTCCACGGTCTTCTGCCGGCTCTTCTCGGCCTTGAGCTCGTCGTAGGCCCACAGCGCCAGGTGAGCGCCCTCGGCACTGGCCTCCGGCTCCCCGGCCGGCTCCACGGTCACGTGACTGCAGCGCACTTCTCGCAGCGCCCGCACGCCGCCTGCGGCACAGCGGCCCCGTCAGGGGGAGGGGGGACCGTCCTACCTACCTCACAGGTGCGCCTCACCGTGGGAATATCTCCCGTAAGATACCCGTCACTCGACTCCGTGGCGCAACGGTAGCGCGTCTGACTCCAGATCAGAAGGTTGCGTGTTCAAATCACGTCGGGGTCACGGTGTTTTCGGGTCGGGTTACTCACCGGCCACGGCCGTGCGGACGTTCTCCCGCCCGGCGTGCACGTCCTCGGCGTGGTCCACGTCCTGTCGGTGGCGGTCTCCGAGACCGACCACGGCCACGGCGGGGAACTCGGGCGTCAGACCGAACAGGAGCCGGGACTCGGACAGCTTCCCTGTCACTGAGGCGCTGAAACGCAGGCAAACATTGAGTAGCGGGAATCACGAAAAATAAAGACTGCAAATGAACATCCTGAAACAAACATAACACTAGTTATTACGAGAACCAGCCCAGTTGAAATGAACGAACTTTACCCCGCGTTCGATGTCTCACGGACAACGAAGATTCTACGCCGTCCGGCCAAATCACGTTCCATAACCACAGCCGAGCCCCCGCTGACCTTGAACGTGATTGGCCGGACGACGTAGAATCTTCGTCGTCCGAGTGACATCGAACGCGGGGTTAATATTTCGTTCAATTTCAAGATAGACGTCAAACCACAGCGATAACACGACATGGGTCGCAACGAACAATAAGCCGCCTCCGTGGCATGGCTGGCCCCGATGGGGATTTGATATTTTTGCGGCACGCACCACTGTAGCATTTCATCCAGCCGGCCGCCGGTCTTTTTGTTGAACTTCCCGGCCTCCTCGGTTAGCGTGTACTTGTCACCGTCTTTGTAGACTCCCAGCACCAGGCCATGCTGATATGGAAAATAATAAACAGCTCAATACCACTAAACACAGGTACCTGGTTAGTAATTACAACACTTGTGAAGCAACCAACAAGTACTACAGCTTTAAGTTTCAACTTATGTAAAATTGAGTCCAAGCATAGATTTAGACTAGGTTTGAGCAATTATTCTGTAGTGAAGGGAACTGTCACACTTACAATACAAGGCACTTTCCATACCTCCAAAGCTTATAACTGAAAAAGAGTCACTTCTGCAGAAAAAAAGAGAAAAATGTTGAAAAGATCACTTTGAATGCAAGAATTTATAACTTACCTTCGCATTAGCTGCAGTGGAAGACAGTCGAGCCATCATTTGTTGGCATAGCCCAGGTTGGGCTTTCAGACGAAGCAGAAACATCATTGACACTTAAGGTATTATTATTGTCTTGTAAAACTGATCCTGAAACTGATTAGGGCTCAGTCAAAATGATGAGCTATACCTAACCAAACAAAACTAATTTGTCATAAGTGCTATTATGTAATAGCTTAAATTTCACTGCTCATCAGCCATGTCATTTTTCTGGCAAACTTCATACAAGTGAACTTCAAACACCAACATATGGTATACTTTCAAAGGTCACTTATAAGTTTTCACAGTATTTGATCAGAGGAGCTACATTGGCATGCAATATTGTCATGCACCAGTTATGTTTGATAAGATTGTAGTTGAAACTGCACTAAAATATGGCAGAATTGAGATGAAAGGTTGCAGAGAATTAGAATGCACATTGACATTAGTAGGATTGTAGGTTGAAGGTAAGTAAGTGGGTAAGTTGTAGGATTAGTAGCTTGTCATTGGGCCTGTTCCAGCGCCTCCAGAAACCTCCAGAAAGCTCCAGAAAGCTCTAGAATCCTCCAGAGAGCGTTCCAGCGCCTCCAGAAAGCTCCAGAAAGCTCTCGCCAAAGCTCCAGAAACCTCCAGTAGCCTCCAGAGAGTTGGGAGGTCCAAATTTCTCTGGAGGCTCTGGTCTACAATTATGGCGCACATGTGACAATCACGAATGTAAACAAAGGACTTTGGAGTTTGGACTGATAATTTTACAACTTAAATGTAAAGAAAATCACATTGCTATAATTTTGTTTATCTTTCTTGCTAAAATTGAAAACAAATTTTGTGTTTCAAGAGAGAAAATCCTTATTCTTTTGGTATCTGTGACGCCAATCTCCAGAAATCTCCAGATTGCGTTCCAGCGCCTCCAGTGAAACCTCTGGTAAAGCCTCCAGTCAAGAATTTCTACTGGAGGCGCTGGAACAGGCCCATAGTCAGTAAGTAATTGGTTATTAGGTCAGGTTAGGTTAGGTTAGCTTAGGCTAAGTTATGTTTTGTTCCTTAAAGGTAGTGTGCCACCTTTGAAAGATTTCCCATATTATTTTTCCTAGGATAAGAAGCTTCTGTTTTTACCTAATATCGCAACAAAAATCAAAAATGGGCCTGGAATAGTGCCTTTTTCGCCTAAAAGTTTTTCGGTTTTTAGATATGTATAACAACTGTAGTGGGCTCACCTGCAAACAGGCGTCGGGCAACAATCGCGAATGCGGCGCACTTGTGACAATAAGCAAAGGTCATTATAGTGTTACGACCATACGACGTACGGGAATGAGTTATCAGCTGTCTAATCGTAGACAACACAATGTCGAGCCTTAAACTGTAAGCCCGTTTTGTATTGTTTCTTTTATTTGGCTGTCGAACATTATTTATGGTTTGAAATATGATTTTATGTAAAATAATTTATATGAAAAAGCCGTCTTATAAGTTATGACCCCATTTCACCACACGCAAGTGGCAGAAATGACAATGATCAGCTGACGCATTTTTCTTGGCCGAAGTCAGAGCGCGCGGCCCGACGCACCACGCGTATTTGGAAATTCCGACCTCGACGAGCATCAGAAGCCACCTAACAGGCGTGTTCGAAACCGCAGGAGATGATGATGAACGGGTTTATCGAAACTTGATTGGATGAGCATATCGGTAATAGCGATTTCAGTGTGTGCATTTATTGTTCATAGTGGTGTGAAATGTGGTTGGGGTACGACCGACAACCCGTCGGGGCGAATTTCGCACTGGGGTACTCAAAATTTGAAGAATTTAAGACGTTTCCATGAGTTTTGAAGGTATGGATAAGTTCTAAAAATCCGGTTCTCCTTATCTGGGCCATTAACTCCATACGGTCCAAGAAAGCTGGCACAGTACCTTTAAGATATTCAAATTCACAAGTAGTTCATGAAATCTTGCTTCATTTTTGTTGTAATCATGCTGCACTTCATATGTATGTAACGGTTAATTATGCTCGAAGGGCGTTAGGTGAACTTATTTGGTGTAGTGGGAATATCATAACTTTAATTTATTGAATATAAAAATAATGATGTATTTCAACATTTTTGTAACAGCTTTATTTTTCAAGCATAAAGAAGCATAATCTGACCATGAATTGGAATAGAAACTTTGTCTTTTGATAGGAATTTTTTAGGTTTAACCTATAGGTATACAAGGTAATCATGGGGTGGGCTTATTGTAAGCTTAAATGTTCTCCAAAATATTTATCACCAATAAATTGGAATGGACAAAAGCTTGTGCTAGGAGAAATTCAAACTCAGGCTTACAAGATTTTGCTATTATGCACATTGAATAGCTTATAGCCATTAAAAAATAAACATTCAAAAGTTAACACATATCGGAAATATTCCACTAAAAATAATTTATCTCACAGCAAACACCAGCGAAAAACAAATGGAAAACCACCCCTCTCCCCTTCACAATATCCGTGCAAATATGAACACCACGTGTTCTTTAGCTTGGCCGGCGTCTAACCGAATCGGCATCGAATCGGCCAACCAGGCGTGTCGATTTATAATCATTCTGGAAATAAAGGGATCAGATAACAGTTTTTGTTTTTATATGACCTTTTATTCAATATTCTAATATTTTCTGCTCTTTAAAGCAAGTATTTTATTCAAAATAATTTTTTGGATTATCTAGCACCAGCAGAAATAGCTCGTTTTGAACAGAGACCAGGTGTATGTAACTGTCTTTAACGCGTAGCTTTTGTAACCAATGAACCAAAGTTAAGGCTACCAAAAATTAATAGTTGCGCGCCTCGTGCAAAGTCGCAGTGATAGAGCAAGTGATAGAGTGATAACTGATAATGGTTAGCAGACGCCGGACTTGTCACCGGCCATTTCGATTTTGATTTGATTTCGATTTAGCAAACCAAGGTAAATAAAAACACGGATTTAGCTTTTGCGGCTAGAACAGGAGCGGGGACATGTTACGGTGACAAGAATCAAGGAGTGACACCGTGCTATGAATGGTGAGCATTGAGCAATAGGTGCTATAAATACCTCACTGAACGTATAATACCATTTACCAATGCCCATACCATACCTTCTCAATTTCTGCGAGTATTTTGGACTTTTCATTTAGCCTGTGTCGGCACTACAAGTTGCATATTTATGATCGGATCGTGACCCTGTCACCCTGCCCATGCTGTTTGTTATCCAAGAGCAGAGAGTTGTTGGCTGACCGGGCCTTGCCTTGTTGATGCCTCTCTGCAGACTCTGCTGGATGGACGGCCGGATCCCTTTGCACGAATCACGATGCAGCAGCGCGCGCCGGGTCGGGCCCCGCTGGCCTTGAACGGGTGGCTGTTTTCAGAGTCGCCGCCGCGGCCCCGCTGCGGCCCCGGACGCTGGTTGACAGCACGGTCCCCGGAGCTGCGCGAGGTGCAGTCGGCTCGGACGGTGCGCTGTTTGGCTCTGACCGCGCTGCTGTGGTGCCGTGTCCGCTTGTCTATAGATGGCCTTGCGCTTGTCGCTTCAGCTTCTGCGTCTTCTTCTGACCGCTTCTTCGGGAGAGCGTTAGGAGGTATGTTAGCATCGTTACTTGGTCTTGCAAGTTGCAAGTTGCATTAATGCGAAATGCAAAGAAGTTATGTCTTTGTCCGTACCTACCTTGTTGCGACAGTCCGTTTGTTACGCCCGTCTTCCACCCGTCTGTCTTCTCTTCGTAGCTACCGTCCGCTCCTCACGCGGGTTTACCGTGCTAACGTTTTAGGGCCTTGGTGCTAACTGCTAGTCAGTAATCTTGACTGCTAGTAGCTAGTAGCTAACTGCAACCGCCGGTGTCGGCTCGTTCTCCGGCTGACCTTTACCTGTCACCGTGCTCTGTTATTGTCGTACTGTGTGTTACGTGATCCAGGCACGTCGCATCGACACTTGATAATGCGCAACGCCCGTCTCTTATTTCGTATTTGTCAGGTGTTGCACCAAGGCACGCGTACCCGACACTGGATCGGCATTCAAGTCGGCTCTTACTGGCTTAGATTCACCCATTCGGGATTCACCAATAAGATGCTCCTGATTCGGCACAGAGTCCCGAGTGGCCTTCTGAAGTTTTGTCACCAGGCAGGTGTCCGGCTGTCATCCACTGCTGCAACTGAAAAGGTTAGTTCTTATAACAAAGTATTAAATTGAGGTTTGTGGCAACAGCACACTGTTGTTATCAATTCAAACAAGCAACAACCGCTGTCCGCTATCGGCGCTATCCCCCGCAATGGCCCGCACCGGTTATGCCGATATTCGATAAATGTTCATCTCATTGGCTTTCATGATATTATATTATTTGTATTTTCCATATCAGCATGGCCTGGTGCTGGGCGTGTACAAGGACGGTGACAAGTACACGCTAACCGAGGAGGCCGGGAAGTTCAACAAAAAGACGGGCGGCCGGCTCGACGAGCTCCTTCAGTGGTAAGGTTCAAGGAGAGGGATTAAAGGGACCCTCCCACCTTCAAAAAAGTTAATGAATTGGCACGAAAGTGATGTCGCTCGGTTCAGAAAGAGCGAAAACGAATATCTACCAAATTTCATCGAAAAATATTCACCGGTTTTCAAGATATTAGACTTTTACTTTTGTTTACTTTTTGGGATCTCCGCTGTTCCTAGCGACTTTATTTGAAAGTGCGGCATTTGTTGCGCGCAAAACAGCATATACCACCGCGTGCTACCAAACGTTTTAGTAAAAGATTTAAAAATCGTTAGATCTCCGCTGACGTCACAAATTCTAAGGGGGCATACCAATGCACTAGCCCCTTAGAATCCGAAAACTGCAAGTTTGAAATTCCATATCTCCGAATTAAAGCATTTGTCGATGTTGTGAGTGCCCAAACCGGTATTTGCAGGCCATGGCCACCAATTTGGCTATCTCAACTCAAAACTAATGTTAAGGTGGGAGTGTCCCTTTAACGGGAAGAGGTGGTTACCTACAGGGTTCCTCGGGCGTATAACTCGCCGCAAAGTAGCTCTTCATCTCGGTGATCTGAGGCGAAGTTATCGTCCAATTACTAACGGACGTCTCGCATTGTCATTGCGTTTTAGCTGCACTACAGGTAATAAGCTCGTAACAGTGTTGTGATCAAACGTCGTTGCATGTGCTGTTACGCTGCCTTGTGAGTAGTAACTAGCTATTCTGGTGTTCGATATGCCACCTTGTGTCGATTTCACCGTCGTGCTGTGTCTAAAAATAGCCCGTTGTGTATATCATTGGCCGTATTCGGCTCTGCACTCTCGACTCTGAATGCTCGTCAAGGGTCGCCGGTCGGTATGCGTGCAACATTAGCTGACGTTTATCGCTGGCTGACGTAGCGCCAGCCACTCAGTAGCGCTGGGCGAACTCTGATCGGACAGTGTTAAACTGCATTTTTCGTCCAATCAAGTAACAAACGACAGGCCTGAGCGAGAACCTTTGGTCCCGCCGACGCCTGGGTCGTCGCGATTGTGTCGGAGACGAACCAACATATTTTGTTTTGGTGTCGGGAGATGTGTAAATTAAGCACAGCCTCGTTCGAACTGATGCTCACAGAGCTCGCTTCGGTAGTATTTAATCCCCATGATTGACGTGTTCAGACGATCGACTACTTGCCCCCAGCGCCTCAGTGACGGGGAAGCTGTCCGAGTCCCGGCTGCTGTTTGGCCTCACGCCCGAGTTCCCCGCCGTGGCCGTGGTCGGTCTCGGAGACCGCCACCGACAGGACGTGGACCACGCCGAGGACGTGCACGCCGGGCGGGAGAACGTCCGCACAGCCGTGGCCGGTGAGTGACCCCGACCCGACCCGAAAACACCGTGACCTCGACTTGATTTGAACACACCGTTGCGCCACGGATTCGGGTGACGGATATTATTCAGGAGATATTCCCACGGCGAGGCGCACCTGTGCGGTACTCCGCCCCCTCCCCCTCCCTCTGACGGGGCCGCTGTGCCGCAGGGGGCGTGCGGGCGCTGCGAGAAGTGCGCTGCAGTCACGTGACCGTGGAGCCGGCTGGTGAGCCGGAGGCCAGTGCCGAGGGCGCTCACCTGGCGCTGTGGGCCTACGACGAGCTCAAGGCCGAGAAGAGCCGACAGAAGTCCGTGGAACTCAGCTGCACCGATGGAGACAGGTGATATTGATCTGTAGGGACGGCGTCACGGGGAAGCCGGCGGGCACAGTGCTTTAGGAATATTAATGGGTTATTCGTAGCGTACTGAATGATGGGGAAATTGGGCAAGCACGGTGGGTAGATGAAATTATGGCGAGACTGATGCATACGATTCCCAGGGTCCGAAGAATAAATGTTTCGTGACCCCGACGTGATTTGAACACGCAACCTTCTGATCTGGAGTCAGACGCGCTACCGTTGCGCCACGGAGTCGTTGGTGTTTCGTGATCCGTGTTGTCGGGCGGTGGGGTCCTCCGTGTGTCGTTGTTCCGTCTCTGTCCCCGTTCGTCCGTCTCTGTACCCTGACGGGGCGCGTGGTGCCGACAGCGAGCCGTGGAGGCGCGGCGTGCATCGGGCGGCCGGCCAGAACCTGGCGCGCACTCTGATGGAGATGCCGGCCAACCACCTGACGCCCACACTCTTCTGTCAGGTCAGTCGGGTCACGCGAACGGGGTCGGTCGGGTCACGGGAACGGGGGCTGTCGGGCCACAGGGTCAGTAAAATACGGGGCCAGTCGGGTCACCGGTCACTGGGGGAAGCGACTCACGGAAGGAGGGAAGCCGCTTCTTACGAGAGGGAGCTCAACGACTCGTGAAGGGGAGCTGACGTTTTTTGGAATAAGCCGACAACTCACGGGCAACTCACGGGATGAGTTGACGACGCACGGGGATTACCTTGCGACTCACGATGAGTTCGTGTCTCATCGTCGTGGGATGAAATAATGACTCACGGGTCACGGGACTGACTGATTCCGGTGATGATAAACCGCGTCCCTTCAGTCGTTTATCTGCATGGTGTGTTTAGCATACAGTAAAATGTAAATGACGGCGTGTTCGAGTTGAACAGCATAACACTGTATTGAACTAACAATTAACAACCTCGCATCCCTCAGCGCGTTTCTGAGACGATGGCCGGCCTGCCGGTCGAGGTGACCATCCGAGACGAGGCCTGGATCCGACAGAACAACATGGGCGCCTTCCTGAGCGTGGCGCGTGGCTCTGTGGAGCCGCCCCGGCTGCTGGAGCTCAGCTACTCGGGAGCGGCGTCCGACTCGGCGCCGCTCGCCATAGTAGGTCAGACGGGGTCACCGGGAAGGTCATCGGGGAGGTCACGGGAGGTCACAGGAGATCAGGGATGGTCGTATGGGGTTACAAGAGACGTTTAAAGCTGCATATGAGATTCTAGAGATCACGGGGGTTCACGGAGTCGCTGATTTGATTGGGAGCATCGACTCGTTAGGTGGGTAATGGTCATGTAGCTTTGGCGTGACTGGTAGTCTGCAAATAAGCATCGCCTGTAGTAAGTTTTTTATGAATTTTCCCGCACTGACGATATTTTTATTTATATCGTCCGTCCATTGCATGGAATCCACACCGTGCAATTATGTCTACCCGCACCGTCGCTGCAGGCAAGGGGGTGACGTTCGACTCTGGCGGCATCTCGCTGAAGCCGTCCAACAAGATGGACAAGATGCGTGCCGACATGGGCGGTGCGGCCTGCACGGCCGGGGTGCTGTACGCGGCGGCGCGGCTCGGACTGGCCGCCAACCTGCGCGCCTTCATTCCGCTCTGTGAGAACATGCCCGGCGGACGGGCCACCAAGCCCGGCGACGTCGTCACGGCCATGAGCGGAAAGACCATTCAGGTGAGGACAGAGAGTCCAGAGCGATACTGGCAGAAGGGACTCTAACCGCCTAACCGCCCTGGTCTAACCGTTCGTCATTTTCAGGTCGACCACACCGACTTTGAGGGCCGCCTGATCCTGGTGGACGCCATGTGGTACGCCCAGCAGGTCTGCAAGCCGAGGGCAATGCTCGATATGGCCACTCTCACATGTGAGTCGGGATCGGGTGGTTCTCCAATCTCGACCCTCTGGGATCAACGGTGCACTCGGCCAGTGAGAAATCGGAATGTCTTACGTGCATTAGTGGTAGGGATTATCGTTTGACCCGAGCATGCTAGCAGACCTGTCTTTTATGGGCTGACCTGCCATCTACCGAGCTCTGCCAGGGCTGGGCTGCTCTGCCCCTAGTGGGTTCTCTGTGACCTGACCTGGCCAGTGTTCACAGCAGGCATGTCCTGTGTGACCTGACCTAAGCAGGTTTTCTATTACCTAGCCTGCCCTGAGCAGGCTTTCCATACCCTGTCTGTCAGCCTGGGCGACCTCTCCGTGCTGCACCATCCCACCCGGATCTACTCAATCTCCCCCAGACGACATGGTGGTAGCGCTGGGCTCGGCGGCCGTGGGCGTGTTTACCAACTCGACCGCCGCGTGGCGCCACCTGCGCGCCGCCGGCTCCGCCACCGGGGACCGTGTCTGGAGGATGCCGCTCTGGAGACACTACACAAACTACATGACCGGTGAGTGTGGCAGACTTGAAAGAGAGAGCCGCTGCAGCTTGGTGTTTCAAGACGTAATTCATCTTCCAGCTGACGTGCTGATTTTGTGGCTTCGTAAACCGACTGACGTCTTCATTTGACATGTATGATGTGCAATTTCGGTAGAACTGTAACACCTGGATCAGTGTGTAAGGGATGGCCTATGCGACCCGTGAGTGGCTACACAACCCCTGGTCCGAGTGTGTGACCTAACTGACCTAACCTCTGACCTCAGAGTGTGATCTGATTGACCTGGCCTCTGTCCTCAGATTGTGAGCTAGCTGACCTGAACAACATCGGTACGATGGCCGGTCCGGGGATGTGCTGGCCTGGGGGAGCCTGCTCCGCCGCCGCCTTCCTCAGGGTCAGTTCAACAGTGCGAGTAATGCATGCATGACTTCTTGATGCTCCCAAGACATCGTTAAAGTCATGGGTATGTCATTTAATAATGTAGCAGGTGTCCATCGATTGGAATAGCTTGCTCTACTTTTGTCTCGCCGTTTGTGTCTCGTGAATGGCTGCTTCTCATTGTCCATGGACTCGAAGCTCAACTTCCTATGCATCGTGGTACGATACCGTCGAAGAATCCACCGTGAATGTCCGCGTCATGCTTCCATCGCACTTCAAATTCAGCTCACTGTTGTCATGTTTTTCGCCTCTATCAGGAGTTTGTGTCTGAGGACCTGCCCTGGCTGCACCTGGACATTGCCGGCACCATGGAGAACTCTGCTGACGACGTGCGCTACCTGCCCAAGGGCATGAGCGGCCGGCCCACGCGCACCGTGCTCCAGTTCGCCGAGACGCTCTGTCGAGACGAGAGGCCCGCCACAGACTGACGTGGAGACGGCGGAGAGAGAGAGAGAGAGAGAGAGAGAGAGAGAGAGAGAGAGAGAGAGAGAGAGAGAGAGAGAGAGAGAGAGAGAGAGAGAGAGAGAGGCGCGGGATTTTCTGGGCGCTGTTTATGGTGCGAGCGCCTAGCGTTTCGTTCCTCTGGCGGAACGGTCTTCCTAAGGCATGCCAACAATAATTTAGTGATGTTGAGAGTCTGAGACATTTCCTAGAAGTGTATGGCCTCATCAAGAGGATGCCCTTGCGCATTGATCTGATACGAATTTGTATGTGATATTTAAAGGTGCAATAGTGTTATCGAACGAAGTGAAACAACTGGGTAATAAATATTTGCCTCCTATATTTCGAGCTGCGACATTGACGGGACTCAGTCAGCCTACCGCCCGCCGCTAGGGCTCGGCAACCAACCAAGAACACTCGCCACAACTCGCAGTGCGGCGCGTAGTACAACAAAAACGGCGGCCCGGCGCCGGTCCCAACTAACCGGCGCACGGGACCGAGCGCAACACCCAGTACGAACAGGCAAAACCGGAGAACAAACGTCAGAACTGTGGGTCAAATCACAGGCGGTCAGGTGACTGACGAAACGCTGTCAAAGGCTCAAAAATGGTTCTCAAGAACAAAAACAGAGCTGAACTCATGAGTCATCGGTAAAACTGTCATGGCTGCGTTGCGACACCGGCAGGCTGCGAGCACGGCGGGAACACGTCACAACATCAATACACGGGTACACAAAATAGCCATCTTCTGTGCGGCCGGGGACGCCGTCTCGGCCCTGCTCCGGGGTCGGCACCCGACCCGCGCCAGGTCAGGTCAGATCTGCAGTCGGCGCAGAAGCAGCAGGCAGCAGCGCAGCGCGCCCGGCAGAAGCCGGCTCAGAGACCTCCGGCCACCACAGCGCCGTGCGGCGGCCAGGACTCGAAGCTCAACTTCCCTACTCTGCCGCCGGCGGCGCGGCGCGCGGCGGCCGCCCGTCTGTGCCCATTGCCGCCGGCAACTGCACAGAGGGCGCCGCGAACCGCGCCGGTCCGCCGCGTCCGACCGGCCTCACTGCACGAAGCCGACGACGCGCCCCACTTGACTAGCCGCTCGGCGCGTCCGTCCACGACCCAACGTCCCCCTCCCCTCCCTGCCTCCCTCCCTGCAATCCCATCCATCCCGACCCACTATTGTACGACGCAGCAGCGGCCGCGGGGCTTCTTTTTCAGCGCCACGCGCTCCACCTGGCCCGCCCCCTCGGGCGAGGCGACCACCGAGTGGTGTACCTCCACGGCTCCTGTCGGCTGGGCGGCCAGCACGGTGGCACCGGGCGGCGGCGGCTCGGCGGAGACCGGGGCCGCCGCGCGCGCCGTCACCGCCGACTCCTTCACCGGCGGCGGGGCGCCGTTGGTGGCCGACGGACTGAGGTGACCGTTCCCGGTCGGCGCTGTGTCCCCTCCACCCGCGGCCGGGCTGGGAGGGCCGCCGTTAGCCGCCGGAGGACCGTCTGTGAGGTCTGCGCTCGCGTTGAGAGGTCGGCCCGACTGGATGGCTCGCACGATCTGATCGGCTTCCTTACTGAGCTCTCCGCCCGGCCGGAACGGGTTCTCCCAGCCGGCGTCCACGCTGAAACGGACAGGGGCAGGTCAGACATGGAGAAAAGGGGCGGAGTAAAACGGGACACGGTATGCTCAGCGTAGAGGTCAGACAGGGTCAGATCATTCATAAGGCCAGAATCATGATCGCACAGTGTCAAACCATTTTTTTTACTAAGACTTTTCGGTAGGAGGTAAGCACAAGCCAGAAGAGGCAGACACAACCGTTGCCGATCGCAATAATTCGCCACCAAAACGCCACTGATAGTATGGATCAGTTGTCAACGCACACAGCACAACACGGGCCCAGTGGACATTGGACAATAGCCAGCAGCACTACAGCCCCATGCACGGTGCACATCACACCGACTCTGAACGAGAAACAGTTGGTCACATGGTGCCAACACAGTCTTTGCATCCCCTGACATGGATGACGTGTGTAACACTGTAAAACTTAGACGCCCGAATCGCCTGCATCACCCACATCAAGCTGGCTGAACATTCATAGCTGAGCTTCACCTCTGAAGCTCAGACGATTATCAATATTCATTATGGGTCACCGAGTATCGATGAGGATCTCTCTGACCCACGACAGAGTGGCGTGACCCCGCAACGCAGTTGGAGCCCCGATGGCCACGGCCGGAAGCCGCACCCTTCGGGCCACCGCCAGCGACTCGGCACCGGGCCAGAGTCAGCCTGACTCGCCATCCCGCGACTCGGACTCTGTCGCCCGGTGATCTCAGCGCGAGTCGGTGACGGTGAGTCATCGCAGAGTCATCACCGAGCCGCGCCAGAGTCACAGTAAGTAGTCTCACTGATCACTCGGAAATAAACAGCTTACTAAAACAACGGCCGTGAGGGACTGAGGACACCAGCCAGCAGGGGTCGAGAAGGCGCCCATCAGTGCGTCATGAACCAGTGACACCCCTACCACTGACAGCCCCCGGTGGGCGACGCTCCCCTGCCCCCTCTCTCTCCCTCGCCGTTACCAGGCGCTCGCCAAGTATCGGTCGGCGCCTAACGGCCCCTCCCCACTCAGTAAACAGAGCTCTGGGCCAGGGTGGGTCAGGGTGGGGCGTGGTGCTGACGGCCGCCGCCGCTGGTAACATCGGCGGCGACAGCGCCCGTGGAGATCCATACCACGATCGGCCTGTAAGCCTTCATGGATAAAAGACACCGACAACAGAGGTGACAGATGTTCTTTCTTCCAGGGCATCACGACATTTTGTACTCCGTTGCCCCTATCATTGAACGTTATTCTTTATGAGATACGCATGTCGTACCTGTGTCGAAACAGCTGCGAAGAAAGCTGAAAGAACAGTAGGAGGGTGCGTAGCATACTGATACACATGAGCGACCACAGCGTCACCCTGAATGATGACGCACACCCTTGACTCCCCCCCCCCCCGTTTCTGGCGACTGTCACCCGAACAGCGTTCAGCGTTCTGACAGCGGCGCAGTGACTGTCAGCGTTTGGCGCCACCGGGCCCGATCCCATCGCGCTGACAGGGTAAGACGCGCCAACAACAATAGGCGGGCGTCACTAACCCCTCTCACACCCACGCTGAGACTAGCACACAGAGGTCAATGGAAGGGGGCAAGAGCAAAGAGCAGCGCCAGGCGAATAAGAGTAGCGCTTCAGCACCGGTATAGCTCCACCGGTATAGCTCCACTACTAGAGAATAGTTCAGTCTCGAGATCACCCCTCTGCGGAAGCGACAATCCAATCATGTTGATGCTCATTGAATACCGAGGAGGAGTGGAGTAACGTCAGATCAGGTGCCGGTGATGTCAGACAAGATGGTGTTGGATTTGGTACCGATTTGATGTCACATCTAGTACCATAGTGACGTCACAGGTGGTACCGTTATGACGTCACAAGGGGGTCGCACGGTGTGCCAGCTGGAGTGCTGAGGTCGGACCGGGGGCGGCCAACAGCAACAGGATCTGACCGGTCTCTGTGACCGGGGCAGGCCGCCAGCTGGAAGGGGGACAGAGGTCACGGACATCGGCGACCCCTGACCCGAGCGCTGCGGGAGGGCGGGGGGCAGTCGACAGAGGTCACGGACATTGGCGACCCCTCACCCGACCCAGAGACACCGCCCCGGGCGCCGCGTGGGAGGAACATCATATGACGGTACATCAGCTACAGAAGCGGCCGCGAGACGACCCTTCGGTCTGAAGTTCAGTGCACTCCGATCAGTCTAGATTGATGTCTTGGTATTTATGTCATCAATTCATAAACGAAGTTGGCCCCACTGATGGCAAAAAAGTTATCGTCGTTACTGACCGACAACCGAAAGATAGCCGCTTTACAACCAATCCATAACGTAACCACAAAAGCGGCCTCCGGCATTGTCCGTTCCAAATGCCCGATGCCCAGCCCACGGACCCTCGGCCGTACCGTGCCACCTCAGGACACACCACAGATTGCACCGTCCAGCCACGGTGCGGTCTCACAGATCACATTACGGGCTCACGGGCCGACACACGGGCCTGGGAGTCCGAGCTATGTTCCCAGACGGGCGCAGAAGGTTCCCAGGCCGGCAGCTGGCGTAGGGGCGAGTTCCGACCGGAGCGGCACGGGACCAGAAGGAACGCGCCGTGCCGGACGCGTTGGGGAGCCGGCTGCGTCTGTCGCTAACGCCAAGAAACACATGACGACAACGTCTAAAAAACAGGTTATTACTGAAAAACGGGCAAAATGAAGTAAAACTAAATCTAAAAAATCGCATACCTCAATATCTCAGTAACACCGCGGAGAGAGTGAAGCAAAAACAGCAACCAAACATAATCAAACACAACCCACACCTACCGTCTGGTCTCGGCGGGCACGACAAAGCGGGTCCTCAGCGGGGCCTCCATGACCGACTGTGAGACCGCCGGCCGGGGGATAATCCAGCAGCCCGGGCCGCGCCCTCACTCCGGTCCTACCGGCGGACAGACCTCGACAAAACCCCTCCACCAGCACCGACCACTACACACGCTCACAACACGCCCAATGGATGAAACCTCACTGCGTAAGTCCCTGAGAGCGGCTCATTCCGCCGTTTAGAGTTCTAGCAGGCGAATTTCACACACACGGCGGCGCGGCCCGTCCTGGAGGTACGACTGTCGGACGACCCCAGCCGCCGCCCGCTGGCAATCAATGGCAGGGTACCTGTGCGCGCGCCAGCCGGCGGCGGTGGCGGCCGCGCCAGACCCGGCGCTCAGCCCGTACACGAGGATTCCATCCGAGAGACAAACAGCCAGCTGGGTAACAATAATGACGGCAGAGCACCTCTTCCCGCGGAGCATATGTCAGCAGCGGCTGTCTTTTTCCACTTTTACCACCGACCTGATTTAACCCGTCAGCGTTTGTGTTGCTTTGATAGTTTGACGGCTCATCCGTCCGTCCGTATGTCCGTCTGTCTGTCTGTTCGTTGGCCTGCTGTTTGGGCGTGAACTGACCGGGTCACGTCACTCCACAGTCAGACACGAGCAAAATGAAGCGGAGAGCGGGCAGAACGGGTCAGTGCGCCTAATCATGCCTGCCTAGGCCAGCCTGTTAGTAGGTGCTCGGCCGCAATTCGCTCATCTCAAGACTCGCAACACAGCAACGCCCCTTCCTCAGCGCTGCAATAGCACAAATCGCATACTACCAAGTACCAACCTATTAAAGGATGAAATGCTATGGACGACATTCTTGACATGTATGCCGCAACAGCTAATGACTGAACTGAATAGTTGATCGTAGATTGAAGCAGAGACATATGCCATGCTGGTTGCATTATTAAGATTCTTGTAAAACGCGACATCGCAAGGCGAAACACGAACTCGAATTGCAGCACTTCCTGTTCCATACAACAAACGGATATCGAGCGACAAAACATCGCTCGCATTTCGGATTCCGTGTCGTTGAAGTCTGCATTCCGTATTCCATGTTCTGCATTTCATGTTCCATGTCCGTGGCAGCATGCCTTCAGTGTCTCGTCTCAATCCGTGTTACCAAAGGTCAAACTCTACCCGTGTCTGTGCCAGCAAACAGAAACGCCAAGGTAACGACGACAACCGACCTGCAGGGCAACACGGATCTACTCCACCACCCACTGCTGAGGACAGGAGTTCGGAATTCGGCCATCCACCGCTCGACATCCACCACCCCCATCCGGCGCTCGCCGTCCGGTGCCATCCAGGCAGCACGAGCCGAGTTTCAATTGGCCGCCTCCCCCGGGCGGGGGCGGGGGCGGGGGCGGGTGCCGCGTCGCACAAGACAAATCGATAGGACGCCCTTGACGGCGCGCTGGGATCAGCCCGCCCCCACCTCGTCTCCCGGCCCTACTCCTGCAGTATAGTGGGGCGCTCCGTCACCTGCACGGGGCGGCGGTGGCATCTGGGTCTGACGGGGGCGGGACCGAGTGCACGGAGAAACACGGGGCTGGCACCAATAGGACAGGGACACGGACACTGGACATGTCACGGACAGTATACGAACTACGAACTACGAAGGTCAACATAGGTCACAGAATGGCCACGGATGGGTCACGAGCAGTCAATGTCATATCATGAAGGTCACGGCGAATCACTGAGAGGTCACGGAGATCACGAACCGGTAACGGTCAGGTCAAGGACGGGTCACGGAGGCCTTGGAACGGTCCCAGATAGCGGAACTGTCCCAGAGGTCACGTCCGGGTCACGAAGGTTACGGACAGGTCACGGCCGGTCACGGAGAGGTCACGAGTGTGACGACCGGCGGGCACGGGTCGGTCGCGTGGGCGGTCCGTCTGACACTTGTTGGCTGGCGCACCCAGCGGGCGGACCCGCTCCCACTCCGTAAACATCACCGCGTCGTTAGGCCGCCAGATGACGTCACTGGATTTATATAGAGACCGACGCCGATGAGATAAGTGGCAGCTTGAAAATCAGGCCTTCAGAGATAATTTGTTACGGACACAAATGGAGTCTGAGCTATTACATTTTCCACGTAGTTAGCTGCTTATTGACAGCACGATTGACACCATTGCACATCAATGCTCGGAAAATGTTCTCCCGATTTCCAGCAACATGGTCCATTAAATCATGTGAAAACAACACGAACTTGACAAGCCACGTCCAGAGACTTTCAAATCTAGTTCAGGCTCCACCATCTTCTGTTATCAATAACAATAAAAATGCAGACGATTGAAAAGCCTCCCGAATGAATCAGTCCCACAAGACGACAAAAAATTGTTTGCAACCGTGAATAAGCCGGTAGCCTATCACCATCAAACGACACGACCAATACGCCGGTACAATCACGGGTGTCGGTCGCCGCTATCGCCAATGCTGTACGTTCCGCTATCGACCACCGACAGGCAGCAAAAACAGAGTCTGATAGTGGGAGCGGCTGGGTCGGTGACGAGTGAGAACGAGAGGGATAAGGCGGATAAAGTCCTTACTGGGTGCGATAGTCTTAGAGAGGGGGGGGGGGGGGGCAGTAACAGCGTCCGGCCGGAGGTATTCGAATTCACAAAACGGTATCACAAAGATGAATGGGACCGTAGATAGGGCGATCGAGAGAAACCAAACGACCGAGCGACACAAGTCACACAAGCGACCGAGGGACACCACATGACCCAAGCACATCTTACGGTCAACCTTATCCAAATTGCTCCTTACCGAAAAAAAAAACGAATAGCAAGGGATCACACAGATGGCCACAAGCCTCGACAAAATTCATAAATACGAATATTTCACGTTCAACGTTTGATCAAAAAGGACAAAAGAACAAATAAGGTTGAGCATAAACGAAAACAGCCACCCTTCACAAATGTCCGTGAGAAACTTCTCGTCAACAAACAATCATCACCATCCCGAAAGTCCAGCCCATACCCCTTTGTTAATCACTCATCAATCTCACCTGGACACCACATAAGTGGTGGGCATCTCGGACACAGTGGTGGTGACCGCGGCCGCGGCGGGGGCGGCGGGGGCGGGGGCGGTCCGCCGGCTCGCGGGCCGCTCCGAGCACACCTCACTGCCCTCTGACGACGATCCCGACACCGAGAGCGGTCGCTTGCTCTCGTAGTAGGTGACACGGACGCGAGAGGTGGCCTTCAGCGGGACAGACTCCTCCGGCCTGACGGAAAAGGGGGGCGGCGGTCAGTGTGTGCTGGGGTGAGCGGTCACCCGGGAGTGGGTCGAAGGTGGGTTAACGGCGGGTCAGATCGGATAAGAGCTGCCACAGGGAGAGAATCGACCGATGGGTTGGGGACAGAGCGCCATACCTAGGGGTTACTTTAGGGGGAAAGGCGAGGTAGATCATTGCACGCTGTATGACGATGAGCTGGGGCGTTAGCGTAACAAAAGTGATCGGACAGGAAGGTCGGGAAAGGGAGAAGGCAGAGTGGAGGGGAGAGGTGATTAAGAGAAAGAGGATAAGAGGGGGCTAGATTGAAATGAGAGAAAGGCAGATGGGAAAATAATCACCGGGCCTAGCGGAAATCATCGAATAAAGTGACGATATCCTGCAAAGAAGCCGCAGATGGCGAATTCATCTTCCCTCCCTTGGCAATTTACCGTTAAACTATCATCAGTGGCAGCCGGCGAGCTACGGTTTCTTTCAATATCGGCTCAGCGGCTCTCTCCCTTCCACTTCAGCTGAAAATTACGGTCTGTTCAGAGAGAAGCGAGCCGCGGCGGCCGGTCGGAAGGCACCCGAAGTCACTAAAGCAGCCACGTTGGAGGAAGCAGCGCAGACTGTGAGGTCAGTAGCCTTTCTCATAAAGCTTTGTGTAGTAAAATGTAATAGTAAAAAATGTGTATGAGAAAGGCTACAGGTCGGGTGCCGGGTGGCGATGGGTGCGGACTGCGGATCCAATATTTAGTTCTACCGTATCAACAGATAGCGGTCGTAGCGTTTGTATGACCGCTATAGTTAGAAGCGAGTCCTTCCCGGAAAATAAGAGATCGTATATTTGCAGCGCTATCTTTAGTAATTTAAATATCAAATTCAAATTATTTAGATGCCATGAGACTAATAGCACTCTTCCGTGACGTGAGCATTGAGATAACTGATCTACTGCTCAAAGTTAAGCGCTCGTGGAACAATGGACATCGTAAAGAAATGCGGAGTGGGACGTTTATCGCAAAACACAATGCATGGGTCGTAAAGCGAGCTGGAGAGCAACTGTATGCCGGAGCACGACTGCGGCATAAAAGGGAGGGATGGCTTTCGTTCGGAACAAAGAAGATTCATAACCACGAAGCGCATGACAGATGGAAACAAATAATCCTTTTAAAAAATGTTTAGAACTATCTATCTTCCCAGTCCCCAGCAGCTTTTTGACCGCGTGAAGGGATACAAAGCGCACACATGTATCACACCCCCAGTCTGCCCCTGGCCACGCCTTCCCCCTACTGCGTTACTGACAACACCATCGGTGATGCCTCATCGATAACAAATGACAACATATGATGATGTGGAACCGACCACGCCCCATCCGTCCATTGATTAGTGACCACGCCCATCGATCATACTGACCAGTGACCGCGCCCTTTCCATCGCTGGTCCCGTCCTTCGGTACCACTGACCCGTCGCTGGCTCCCCTCATCATGCTCAATGTCCATCGATGCCACCAACCTCGTCTCTCACCCTCTCAGCTTCAATGACCCAAAAACACGCCTCTAGAAACATATGGCCAAGACTCTCGCATCCCATAGTCCCTGGATTCCAGCTATCTTCAGCACCAATAGCCTAACTCACCGCTACCTTCGACCCAACACCTCGATCCCACTGACCACGCCCCTCTCAGCACCACAAGAGCTCCAGAACCTCAGAACCCTTGAACTCACTCGGTGATCATGGATGCCGTCGCTGTCGGCGGCAGCAGCGACACGACTCCGCCTCCCTCGGCCGGATCCACGCGCTACCTCGGCACGCCGCGCACTGACGGGTCTAAGCACGATACGGAGCGAAGGGGCGAGCTTCGGGGATCCACAGGCAGCCCTGCAGTCCAGTGGCCACTCGAGTGGCTGGAGTCCAGGGCGTAGAGGAGTTTCGAGTCCGCTTAGTGAGCTGATCGCCAGAGTCGTGAGTACGAGACTCAGTCACCCACGGCACTGAGCAGCGATCGAGCTACCGTTGGCACCTCGACTCTGCTATCAGCTTATGGCCCGCCTACCGGTTATCACTGTTCACAATCTCACGAGTTACGACGCCACCAGGCGCACGGACACTTCACGACGTCACGAAGGTGCTGTCCCGGACGGCGGACACCCCTGTCGACCCGCCGTGATCCGCCGCGCCCCTCCGACGGCCGCCGATCGTCGTCAGCGACGACTGGCTCCGGGCGACTGTCGGCCGCCGCCGCGGGGTGTCTGGCCGGACCCGGGTCGGCCGGCCGGCGGGGCGGGGGGCGGGTCAGGCGGACCGGCCGGGCCGCGGGGACGTCGTGTCAGCACGGCCGACCTTGCGGGCGCGGCAGTGTTTATTTGCCCGGGCAGAGCTCCAGGCGCGGCGGCCTCCTGACGATGACGTCAGTGGGTCAAGGGACACGTCACTAGCACCGCGGTACCGCGGGATCTCCGACTGCCTCTCGTCTCTCTCCTGCACCGGTTGGGTCAGAGCCGCCCACAGCCGGTCGACTCAGCACGGCCGGCACCGAGACTGTGTCGGTAGGGCCCCCGAGGCTCAGTTTGGGCGGCGCAAATCGCGGGTCATGGACACTGCGCCGCCGCCGCCGCCGCCGCCTAAATATACCATCAGCGGGCGCCGACGGACGGCGGCGGCGGCGGCGGCGGCGGCGCGAGCGACGTTTACGCTCCGAGCGCCGCTGAGCGAGCCGAGAGACGAGCAGTCGAAATGTCAGTGGCACTGGCCCCGCCCTCAGGGGACGCGGCGAAACATGGAGAATGAGACTATGCACGAAACACGAATACGGAACTGCGACGCTGAGACGAGAGCGATTTGATGACGAAAAAATCCCCGAAAGCACCTTCAGGAAAGAAGTCAACGTTTGCCCACGCAGCTCTGCCTAGTGTGTGAGCTGCAAATTACACAGTCCTGAGCTCCACTCTGCGTTTGTTTTCAGTGGCCACGGCCTATTACGTTCAAAAGTGACCCGTCCTGCCGACACGACACTGCGTCACGAGGTCATTCATTGCCGTCTCTCCAACAAAACACGGCCCACGCAACTGCAACTCCAGGCAGCCGTATTAATGACCGCTCACCGGTGACAAGAGAACCGCATCGCCTGACCGTCCGACGCCGTTTGTCAGAGAATGAAGGCGTGTAGTAGCGGCGGAGAGGGACCAATATCTCACAGAAACCCTTCTGGGGCTCTTACTTCAGAATGGACGAACATTCTGCAGTAAAAAACAGTGCCCATACGACCTACAACGCCGAAAACACCGTTAACGGTGACTGCCGGTCCACCAGTCAGCAAACAGTCGTGCTGCGGAGCAGGCACGGATGAACACCAACAATGGCCCTCCGGAGACGGTAGTGGTGGTGGAGTAAGGTCGAATAGCGAAACGGAAGGGGTTTTATTCAGTTTAAGTCAATGACTGCCCTCGAATTATTGCCGTTGACGCCGCTGCACGGAACAGAACAGCCCTCACGCATCCCGCACATTTTCGGCGCACAGTGCACACTTGCACAGTGACTCGACGCCGTGCACACGTGCACTGTGAATGGTGCACAGCTGTGGCGGCTGGGACCGAGCGGCCCGGAACCTTTCCAACATGTCTCAGCTATCGCAGAATGATCGCACAGTGCGGCACACAAATGAGGCAGGCGGAAAAACGCGACTTCTCGTACGATCAACATCAGCCGGTGAATTTTCTCGCCGCTAATGATAATTATGAAGATGATGATGATGCTTTGGGTGACAGGAATCCGGACTGCAGAGATAATCAGCGTTTCCGACGAGAAACAAACACAGCGACAGCACAGCGACAGCAGACCAGGACGGAGGCCAGAGGCTGGTCTACCTAACCCGCCAGCAAAGACTCACCCAGTTCGCGCGGTGCCCAGCTCACTGCACAGGGAGCAGAGGTCGTCACCATTCAGCACCTCCCCTCCCTCCGTGACCCGATTCTCCTCAGCTCGGGACCTCCCAGGGTGCGGTCCACTGTGGGCCGTATATTTGCACACGTCAAACCGCCAGAGCAGACCAGCCATGTAAGCGATAATACCGGCCGACCCGGGCAGGCGACGTATGCCTGGACAAACAAACCGGCCAGGCAAACATCGCCGACACGACCGGGCGACGGGGCACCGCGGAATACGGGCCCGTGTTCCGGATAGAGGGTCGTGTTTAAAATGTTCTGGCCGAAGTGAACAGCATGCCTAATCGCCAAATTTTTTCCAAATTGATTTGATTCCAGTCACATTAGTAAATGATGCAAGAAAATACTCGTAGCGCAAATACATAATTGCTGCCCTTAGACTTACACAAAAAAAGTTACCATCCCTAAATGCTGTTCAATACCGATTTTTCAAGAACACGACTCCCGAGCCCAAAGCTCAGTTCAGCGGGCCTCATGTGAAGGTAAAGGTCCATTCTGCGCGAGTCACGTAAATGAGCGTGATACCAGTCCAGTTAGTATAATCACCGTAATGGTCCGACTGCCGGGTCCCTCGGGTACACATGGAGCATGAGCCTTTGCATGGTCATTGACCAAGGCGCTGATATTAGCCTTGGTAGTGAGACATTGGCTTGGCTGTTAACGCATTGGATACAGGTCCTTACATAATTTGTGAAACCAAAGAGCACTGTGCACTATGTGTTGCCCCTTATAATCGAGTATTGCCATGAAATATCTAGGAAAGCAGCAATAACCATTGCAACTAGTGGGCGTTCACAACAATAGTAAATCAACGGAAAAAGAGAAATAGCTTGCTATAACTATGAGTGATGTCATGTCTTTGCCACCAAATAATATTTATGGTCATCAATCACCATCACAGCGGTCCGGAGACTGTGCACTGTGCAATGTGCAGTCTGCCTCAGTAAAGCACCTCAGTCGCCGCCACCCTCCACCTCAACCCCCTGTGAGCGCAGGAGTCGCGACATGGCACGCACAATGTGTCGGCACGCCGGCTCATCGGCCACATTTTCCACCTCGAGCGGATCGCCGCGGTGGTCGTACAGCTCCCTAGCGAACAGGTCGTCCCAGTGGGGTCGCAGGGCCACATGGTCGTACGCGACCCACTCGGTGTACCGCAGGTGTCGGGTGCGTACAGAGTAGCCCATGACGCGAATATCGCGGAGCTGTGGCTGGTCAGAGTCGGACCGTGGCAGGACAGATGGACGAGGGTACTGAGAGAAGGCGGCGGCACGGCGGGACGGTGAGCCGCCTTCTAAGGTCACCACCAGACCCGAGCAGGGTCTGGTAGTTGGAGACTGACGGGTGGGGGAGCCGAGAGCGGCGTTAGGTACGCGGTTAGTCAAGAGTTGGAGCTCCAAATCGCCGGCTGATGTGCTGTTGATTAGGCGGTACAGCTCGTGAGGTCCGCGCGGCGCCGGTGTCCGTCCGTGCCGGTGTATACCGCGGACCAGCGGCAGCAGTGAGCGGCCCTCGGTACACAGCTGCGGCTGGCTGCCCTCCGCCGGACACCGGGGCAGTGTGACGTTCAGCGCCGCCTCCGTCAGTGTGGGCATCACGTCCAGGAGCTCGACGGGCGAGCGGACCACCACGGCCGCGCTGGGCCCGCGCCGCTGCCTCCTCCGGCCGGCCGCCTTCAGCGGGCTGACGTGTCTGAACCCCTCCAGCGACCCGGTCTCGCCGGGCAGATGTAGCAGCAGCAGTGTGCGCGTGGCGTCCTCCGAGGTACTGTACTTGGCCCACTCCCCACGTTCGCCCAGCGCCCAGCCGTGGTCGCCGGCCAGCAGTACCACCGTCCTCGCCGCCTGTCCCGAGTCTGCCAGCGCGGCCAGCACTCTGCCCAGCAGGTCGTCAGCGTACGACACCGCCGCGTAGTATCCCTGACGCACCGACCGGGCGAAAAGCTCGGGCATCGGGCCGTACGGGAAGCTGATGTTGAGCTGAGCGACGTCGTGTCGCCGGCGTAGGTCCATCCATGGGTTCCAGGCGACCTCGGGCAGTCCGGGAGGCCGGTGCGAGTAGCTCGGAGGCGGCACAGACTCCGGCGGGTACAGATTGAGGTACTCGAACGGCATCTTGAGAGGAATGTGCGGCTTGTGCAGACCGACAGCCAGCAGCCACGGGTCTGTGGAGGCTCCGGGAGCAGCGCGCTGCCTCAGCCAGCTGACGGCACGCTCGGCGGTCTGTATATCTGGCAAGGTGTGCAGCGGCTGAGTGCGTGGGTCCACCGGGCAGAACAGGTCAGCGTGCAGCTCACCGTCCGCGTCCAGGCACACGGGCCAGTTTTTGAACTGCTGCGCCGGCGGGTGGTAGGGCGGCTCGCTCCAGCTGTACGGTTGGTCGTCGCTATGGTTGGACACGACGCCCGGGTGAAACACCTTGCCCATGGCGGCGGTGTGGTATCCCCGCTCGCGGAACATCTGCGGCAGGCTGGTGAAGTTGCCGGCCGCCCAGCGCCAGTAGCTGCCGGTGTCAAACAGTCGCAGAGTCTGCGGCCGGCGCGAGGTGAGCAGCGAGGTGCGGCTCGGCGCGCACAGCGCCTGCTGCGCGAACGCCGCCGTGAAGAGCGCGCTCTGGGCGGCCAGCGCGTCGGCGGAGGGCGTCACGGCCAGCGCGTCCCCGTAGCAGCCCAGCGCCGGCCGCAGGTCGTCCACCAGCAGCAGCAGCACGTTCCGGCGCGGCAGACACGCGGCCGACAGCGGCGGGCACACGGCCAGCGCCAGCAACAGGGCGCGCAGGAGGGCCGGCGGAGAGCCCCGCGGAGACCCGGGGGCGGACATGACGCAAGGCCAGGGCCGCTGCCGCCCCAGGAGGGCCAGTTAGCACACCGGGCCACACCTCGGAGACAGTTTGTGACGGTTTTTAGGATCACAGGTTCAACCGAGCATAGCATATGCTTTGGGTTGTCATGCAACTGATAATATCTGTTTCGGCATAAAGGGGTGAGAAAATACAGCCTGACCTGGATATTATTGACTGTTTTGCAATATGTCACAACTAGAGCGCATCACTCTCACAGAGTTGGGTTACATGCCAGTTAAGTGGTCAGAACTTATAAGAGAGAGCTGTTTTCCTCTGAAAGAGTTACCAACAAAAAGAAACAGCTTACAAAATGGGTTGTGGATGAGGATAGCATTTCTTAAATCAAAGGGTAAACTGATAAGTTCACTAAATACCATGAATGATGAAGCAGCAACTCAGTGAGCCAGTCTCATCCCCACTGCCTCTTCAGTTATGTTATTCTTGAGCAGTTTCTAGGTAAGCAGCAGCTGGTATCTCTTCTTACTGAATAATGTGGCTTTCTAATAAGTCTCAGCTCAGATGACTTTTGTGAGTTTTGTAAATTTGCTTACTGTCTGATCTTGACCATCAGATCTTAAAGTTCAAGTTAAGTCAGGCAAATTAAAACATGTCAGAAGAGAAATTTAATCAATTCAAATTGTGATACAATGAATTAATAATAGGTTCCTCACCTGTCGCTATAATTCTCATTGAGTTTTGAGTCAACAAATACACTTTTGCTCTCACAGCTCTAGCATATGATTATCATCATCATATGATTATGAGAAGTCACCTACTAAAAATTATCAAGTTTGAGTTTCATGGTCAAGTGCACAACTGCACAAGTTGAAGTGTCCTACTAGAAAATATAAAAATATAATTTCTTACAACAGTCAGGTTGATACCAATATTATCAGCACACTCCCTGTGCATGGAGAATAACATTTAAATAGCCATTTGACTCGACAGTTGAGACTACCCAGTCCCCAAGCCAATACGCTGAATATGCATTATGCCAGGCTGCGACTAAATGCTCAGTTAAATAGAGAAAAGGATGTTTTCAAATATAACCTTATGTTCAATGATTGTGAAATGCAAAAGGTTCCAAAATTAATCAATTTGCAATTCTGAACTGAAGAAGGACAGTGTCCGAAATATATTCATTTTGTAAGAGAAAAGGATGTAGACAAATCATCTGGCAGGATTATCAAAAGCATTCAAAACAAAACGGAACTGAGTGTAACTACAATATGTTATATCCTTCAGCTCATCACCGCACACAGTTCAGTGCCGCACACCGTCTCAGCTTCATTCCATTCCTTGCCCATTCCTGATCCCCAGCCCCATAGATATAAAAGACATCTATGCCCAGGCCGAGTTCTGCATAGTACAAAGGACAGTACTAACCTGATAAATTTTGCTGATCCCTGCAGAGCTGGTCGCCCAAAAACTATGCGTCGGTAATTCTATGCGCAGGGACGCCCCTCCACTTCTCCCAAATTGAAAATCAACTTTTCGCCAGGCCCCGCCTTTATCTCAAGCGGAAATTGGCATGCGCATGTTACGTCCTATCTGCGCCATTTTCATTCATTTGAGAAAAAATCATAAAAAATGGTTAAAATTAAGTGAAATCGAAAATATCGAGCTTCATTTATCTCCTCGAATCTATTCACAATTTTTTAATAGCACATGTCAGCAACAGCAACTGGTCGACATTGATCTCGCAAACAAAATAAATGAACCTAGCGGTAAATGTAGCAGACAAATAGTAGAGTAACTCACTGCCAGAGGGCAGCAGCATCCAGACCCAAACGGCACGTCCGTGAAGGTGAGAGGGTGGTCATTGATTTTTGATAAATAATCTGAGTTTCTTGCAGTAAGCAGGCTTTTGATTGAATGAGGGTGAAATTTACGTGAAGAGACACATTAATTCAAAACGCTAAACCTTTGCAACAGACCACGCATTGGCATAGGAAAAACACGTACCTACGGCTTCTCACATGAACTCAACTTCTGAAGCTTTAGTTAATCGTTTCAACGCTAGGTGGTGTCGAGCCGATGATGGTGACTAGAAATCTGAGCACACTGGTATCTTTTGGGAGCTCGGCGCACATCGTCATCGGCGGCAGTGACACTTCACTAGCGATCGGCCAGCCAGGCACCAACATTTACCGCAGATGAACTGACATAGCCAGCATCTGTCTGTACCTATATAAGTATAAAGTAGTTACGCCCGGGGTGATCGATCAAGCGATAATGGTACTGTTCTACTACGGCTCGGCTAGCTAGACGAGCAATTACAGCTTCAACATTGCCATTGCGAGAGGCACATAAACATTGGAATACAGCTCCCAGTTTGTTATTGACGTTGGGTTGGCCACCCGACTGAAAAACGTCCGGGTGTCATTTGACGTCGGCTGGCACGAACGCGTCCAGTGCCCCTCCCCCCCCCACCAGTGTCACCTCTGACGGCCGGCAAAAAGGTCAGACTAGGTCGGTAAACAGGCTGCCCGGGGTGCGGGCACGCACCAGCGCACTCGACACCGCCCTGAGCTGTAGCCCGACACCGCCGCTCGGCGCGACACGTCTCAATCGGGACGGTCGCGGCGCAGCAGCTCCCCGCAAATGTCACCGCTCGGCGCCGCGCACGCACGCAAGTGATCGCAGTATGACCGTGAGTTGGCGACGGGCGATTGGCAGCAGCCAAGTGCGCTGCAGGTGACTCACAGGTCGTGACTCGGCGCCGTCACCGTTTGCGCCGATCGATAAATTCGATAAATTAGTCGACTGCGGAGCTACGACTCATTCTTAAATTTAGCTGATGACGAGAGGCTCGCGCCATGCCTTGAGTTCACCGACCTGTTAATCCGTGCTTATCCCTTTTTAACCCTCGCCCTGGCAGGGGGGGGGTCGATGCGACCCCCCCTAAGGTTTTTCGAAGATACCGTAAAAACGGCGGCGCGCAGCGCCGCCAAATCTGGCACAGCCTATGGGGCAACCTTTTTACATATGACCTGAAAATTTCAGGTCCGGGTGACCTTAGGTCAGGTCACCAGGTCAGAAAAACCGGTACAAGGTCATGGTCAAATTTCAAATTTCTTTTTGCACCTGTCCAACTCACAGTTTTGCACTGATTTCCTTCAAACTTTCAGGATGTGCTAAGTTCACCGAGTTGTATAACATATAGTTCGGGTTTTTTGAGGTCACTGACCTGAGGTCAGTTAAAGGTCATTACGTCGTAATGTTAAGCCTATGGGAAAATACTAAATTCGGAAAATACTGGAGATATCCGCTTCGTTCTATCACTTTTGTGCTTCGAAACCACAGTTCTCAACAGCAGGTCACTTGGTACTTCTTTGTTTGGTGTACTTATCCATGGGTCAGGTCAAATGAGGTCAACTGAGGTCAAATGACGTTTGACGTCATTTTTTTATCGCTACCCAAACGCGCGTAACGACTAGGCTGAACCCACGCTGACTTTCCGTTATTCATAGGAATGGATATTTACTTGAAATAGATAAAAAATATACAATTTGAACTATAAATAAGACCAAAGGAACGATATTTAGTCAATTCAACGCCAACAGCATTCTGATTTAAATGCCGTCGCAGCGCCAGAACACGGTAAAAATGATATAAAAATATCCGGTTTCACGTGATTTATCAATCTGCTGTACTACTTCATCCAGTTTGACCAAATCTGTCAGGTGGTGACTTGGATTGTCACGTTCTCAACGTGACTCACATGTACCTCTACAAAAACGATTTTAGCATAATCCGACTCAGAAATGTTCATAGATCATGTTTGATTATTTTCCCTTCTCTGATTTGCATACGACGGGAATAAAGTTAAATGCTTTAAGGGCAAGACGACTTTTTCAACTCATTTATAGGTAAATTACGTCACAGTGACGTCATCGGTTGCCCGAACATTGCAAAACTTCAGCTTTCAATTACGCCATGTGTTTTTAGCACAGGGACAAAATCTCAAAACAATATCTCAAACATCAATGACGTTACACTGCAATTCATTAAAAAGGTACCATTCTCCAAAAAAGATGAGCCACGCAGTTGCACGTGCTCTGGAAGTGGTGCAACATTAGTTAGAGGTGCGCACCGGTCAGATTCGGGTTCAGCGGTCATTTTTGTCCCAGAAACCACCCTTTGCTAAGCTCTACCCAATTTTGCGTTATTCGGCCCAAAATTGGGCCTCCTTCCCCTGACTAATAATGACGCTAGAGCTTAAAAAATGGTACCATTATGTTCCTGGTGATCAGCCAAATCGAATGATATGCGATATGATGCAATTTGGTTAGCTTTAACTTAATTTATTAATTTAAGCTTACTTAAAATTTAAGAAAAACTTTAAGTACACTTAAGCAAGCTAAAAAGTATATCATTCGACGCGCCTTGACGTGCTGAGCTCACTGGTGCTTTTCTTTTTGCTCTATCTTAATTAGATCAAAAGTTATAAGCGAAAAACTTTTGACCTGTTTTTAGCGAAATTTTTACATTTATACCCCCCAAAACCCCCCTAAATATTGACCTAGAGCAACCAAATTTGCACAGGGGCGAGAACTCCAGGGGGCCCACCTACCTACCGAATTTGGTGTTTCTAGGTGCCATAGGAGCCAATCGCGAGGGGGGGGGTCGCATCGACCCCCCCCCCCCTGCCAGGCCGTGTTATGAAAAATGCCCTGCCAGGGCGAGGGTTAAAACGTTTAAAACGTTTATACCGGCGCAAAATGACCTTAGAAGTCGCCCGAGTCGGCGCGCCCTAAAAGCCCCAATAAACAAACAAGCCGTTCATATTTCATGAGCTAGCGTCATCCGATCTTCCGAATTCAAAAAAAAAACTATGCAAAAGAAGTTTTTTCATAAAGAAAAAGATACTATCCTTCAGCAGCACGGTATACTGTAGGCAATAGGGATGACATGGAATGTGTGTTCTTGTCCGTAACTCTGGCTATCTAAAGAAAGCATCTTGTTGCCGTCGTTGAGACATGGGTCTTCTGCAGA